TATGTGGTTGCTAACCAGGGCGCCGATCCAAGTACCGGTTCGAACCCCTCCCACCCCGCCCCTCCCAGAAAACCAGAGAAGGGTCACTACCGGTTCGACCCCCCCTCCCCTCCGGAAAACTGGGGGTCACTACCCGTTCGAACCCCCCCCCCTCTCCCCTCGAAAACCCGGGGAGGTCATCGCCGGTTCGAACCCCCTCCCAACCCCTCCTCTCGAAAACGGGGGGGGGGTCACTACCGGTTCGAGACCCCCCCCCCCTCTCGAAAACCGGGGGGGGGATCACTACCGGTTTGAACCCCTCTCCCCCCCCCCCGCGCACACCGACAGCAAACAACTCTGGGTCCCTACCAGCGTCCGCACCACATCCCCCGCTGCTGTCCCCAGCACCACTGTCCTCACCACCACTGTCCCCACTGTTCCCACCACCGTCACCAGTGCCCCCACCACTGTCGCACTGTCCCCACTGTCCCCACCACTGTCCCCACCACTGTTCCCACCACGGTTCCACTCTCCCCACTTTCTCCACAGCCCCAACCACTGTCCCACTGTCCCCACCAACCCCGCCGCTGTCCCAGTGAGCTGTCCCACTGTTCCCACCACTGTCCCCACTGTCCAACCACTGTCCCTACTGTTCCTCTATCCCATTATCCCACCGCCGTCCTCGCCCTGCCCTCACCACTGTCGCCACCACCACTGTACCCTCCACTGTTTCCACCACATTTCCACTGTCCCCACACCACTGTCCCCACCACCACCGTCCCCACCACTGTCTCACTGTCCCCACGTCCCACTGTCCCACTATTCCCACGGTCCCCACCATTGTCCCACTGTCCCCACTGTTCCCACCACTGTCCCATTGTCCCCGCCGCTGTCCCACTGTGCTGTCCCACCGTCCCCACTGTCTCCATCACTGTCCCACTGTCCCCATCACTGTCCCCACCACTTTCCCCACTGTACTACTGTCCCAACACTGTCCTCACCACCGCCTTCACCAGTGTCCCCACAACTACCGTCCCCACCACTGTCCCACTGTCCCCACCACTGTCCATCTGTCCCCTCACCACTGTCCCCACCACCACCGTCCCCACCTCTGTCCGCACCACTGTCCCACTGTCCCCGCACCACTGTCCCCACCACCACCGTTCCCACCACTGTCCCAACATCCCTACCATTCTCCAACTGTCCCGAGGAGCGAGCATCGTTTGCCGGCGGCGAGGGGGGGGGGGAAGGTGGGGGGTTCGAACCCGTAGTGACCCCCCCCGGTTTTCGAGGAGGGGGGGAGGGGTTCGAACCGGTAATGACCCCCCCCCTCCCCTTTTCATGATGGACTGGGGGGGGGGGGGTCGAACCGATGACCCCCCCGGTTTTCGAGAGGGGGGGTGCGGGTTAGGAACCTCCAATGACGCCCCCCCCCCGGTTTTCCGCCAACAGCGGTAGAACACGCTCTTTCAAATCTGGGGATCTCCGCGTCGAGTAATTGGACGACTGGAATCTTGCTGGGGCAGAGGAATCCGATGGGAATTCTCACTATTGGAATCATATTGGAACCTATTGGAATCCGAATGGAGCCCAGGAGTCCTATTGGAACTCTACTGGACCCAGTAATCTTATTTGTTCCTAGTCGAATTATGGTTGACATGACTTTGGAAATGTACTGGGATCCTATCCTCATGGGGTCGTGGAATCCTATCGGAGCCCTGGAATCCAAGTGGGATTCAAACGGAATCCGACTGGGATACTATTGTGGGTCCGATTCATTGCCTGGTGCAGCTACTGATATAACATATCTTGCCGCATGTCCTACTTCGGCTCCGATTGCATACCTCAGCAAACTCAAACTACAGCCCCTGGGATAGATCCCACGTAGCTCTTGTCACTACAACATATACTGCAACTCACTCCGGATTGCAAAAGTCCGACTGCATCTTCTACGACAACACCCGGTACAACCCAATCGCAGTTCGTAATGTTACAACTACCACTCAGGTTATGTGCACATGTTCACTACAACACCTATACGTCTTCAACTGCATATCCTTATCGTCCATCTCCTATTACAACTCATGGTAACTACAGATCCTATCCGTTCGTCGCTGTAATTTCATCCCGCTGCTGATGACTCCCCTCCCTTCTCCTTTACCGTCCTCCTCCTGACCCTCCGCTTCGGCTCCGTCTGGCCCGTCGGCCGTCCAGGCGAGCGCCCGAAGAGGGCGGGGGGGGCACAATAATTCGCCGGCCCAACGGGCCAGGGCGTGCTAAGATCTCCGGTAACTGGTTAACAGTATTAACAGTATTTCTAGTTCGCGCGCGCGGGGCGGCCCCTGGGGGTCCCCCGGCGAAAAGTACCCCGACCAACGCCCGACCAAGTCTACTCAGAGATGGTTTTCCTTCTGGGTGCGGCCTCTCAGGCTCCCCAGAGCGCGCTCAGAGTGCCCCAAGAGGCCCCCAAGACTGCCCAAGAGGCCCCCGAGACGCCCAAAGAGCGCTCGAAGACGCCGAAGATGACCCCAAGACGGCCCAAAAGGCCCCCAAGACAGCCCAAGAGGCCTCCAAGACGCCCCAAGAGCCTTCCAAGAGGCCTCCGAAGAGAGCCCCAAGAGGCCAAAATCGTTGATTTTCATTGGTTTTTTCTATGTTTTTTGTGTTCTGGCTTTTTCGGCTTCCGGACGCTCCAAGACGGCCCAAGAGGCCCCCAAGACCGCTCCAAGACGGCCCACGAAGCTCCCAAGACGGCGCCGAAACGACCCAAGAGAGCCCTCAAGACGGCCCAAGTGCCGCCCAAGACGGACCAAGAGGCCCCAAGACGGGCCCAAGAGGGACTCAGGAGGGATACCGAGAACTCAAAAATGGAGCCCTCCGTCCCAGAAGGCGCCCAGGAGGTCCCAAAGAGGCCCCAAGAGGCCTCCAAGAGGCCCCAAGATGTCGCCAAGAGGCCCCAGGAGACTCCCAGGAGGCCCAAAAGAAGCCCCAGAAGGCTTCAAACATGTCTCCCAGGCGCCCCCGAACGGCCTCTCAACAGACCCCAAGAGGCCCCCCAAAGAAGCATCTTGACGACGACTCTATTTCGCCCCATCGAGAGACGACCCCCAGGGAACTGCTTCACCATCAAAACTCCCCACGCAACGCGTCCGAACGACACCCGCCCCCAAGAGCGCAACATGGGCAACGAACACACAGACAAAAACCAGCGATGCCATATCACGGGCCGGCGGAATGAGCGAAGCGATTCAATAAAATAGTTTCAGGGCCCAGGGCCAGTTTGTCTAATAATCCTGGGCGCCGCCGAGTGAAAGCTACAAAAACGACGGGGTTCCATGCAAGTTCGGTTAGCGTCATCGACGGCGAACTGACCACGACGAGGACGACGATGGCGTCGTCCAGAGGCCTCCGGAAGCCTTCAGAGATCTCTTTGGAGGCCCCCAGAGGCTGCCGGCAGTCTCCCCAGAGGTATTCGGAGCCAGAATAGTACCACAACGTCACCACAATGTGCACGCTTGTGCGGCGGACGAGTATCATAATACCATGCGGGCGACACAATGTGCCTATGAGCACCGCAAAGAGCCTGCCAATCCCGAGATCTTACGTTACCGCCGATGCCAAGATGCAAGGGCAGCTTTGATGGACCGTGGCTATCCTTCTGGCCCTGCTTGGACCTCTGCAGGCTTCTGGTGGCATCCAGGGAACTTCCAGGACATACGGGGACCTCCAGAAGCATCCAGGACTCGATATCGTCGTCGCCGTCGTCGTTTTCGTCCCTCCTCCTCCTCCATTGCCAGTTTGTCTCTGCCCTCGCTATCCTGCCGCTGCTGGAACGCGATGTGCAGAGAAGATGGCATCCACATCCACCCGCCCTTATAGCGCAGGGCGCTGGGGCCACGACTATCAAATTTCAACTGCGAAACATTTCAGCTCCGCAATAGTCTGCGAGCACCACGGAGTGGCAGTGCAGAGCTATGCTGCAAGCGCCACAGCATCCTTGCGAGCACCTGCAGCATGCCGGTGAACACCAAAGCGCCACGAGGCCCAACAAAGGTCCCCAAAGGACACCGCCGCCACAGCTTTAGGGGAACGACAAAATTACATAAACATAGAAACTCCGAAGTCCGCGCGGATTTCTTGGATCCGTGCTTGACCCCCCTCCCTGGCGCGCGGAGCGCGCCAGGAGCGGCGCTGGAGGCGCCGCCAGGGGGCCCCAGCACCGATGCGAGAAATCCGCGTGGACCTCCTAGTTATTATATTTATGCCATTGTTCGTTCCCCATACACAGCCGTGACAAAAGCTTCTTTCATGTGTTATGATGAAGATCTCTCCCATCCCTCTCAAGATTCCTAACGTGACACGGTGCTGGGATCATTCGGCGGAGTAATTTCCGATCCCGGAGACGTTCATAACTCTGTTACCCCAAAACGGGATCGGAAGCTACTCCGCGCCAAACCATATATGTTATCGCGCGGGGTGCGATTGCGCGCGGAGTAGATTTAGTAAAACTACTCCGAATTATTTTACACGAGCGCATCATTCCAAAAGGCAAATTGAAAGAAACTTTCGTCACGGCGATGTCGTGTAAGCAGCACAGTGCGCCTGGGGCTCTTCATTTCTTGCCTGCGAGTACCACCAGTGGTGCGCGAGCACCGCACCATGCAGAAGTGCGTGGCCACCGCAAGATAGCCTGCGAGCGCCACGACATGCCTGATTACGAGCGTAAGGATGGGGGGCGCACTCAGTGCAAGGAGGGGGGGAAGGGTGCATGGGGACGGGGACCCCAAAGTCCAGTGCCTTTCCACGGGGCAGGCTGTTCACCTCGAATCGTTGCTTGACGGTCCCGGGGCCCGTCGAGGGCCCCCACAGGCTGAAACCACAACAAAAAACAGCCGCCTTCATCCCTTGGAGTCGTTGGAAGTCTGGGAACGAGACGTCGATCCTTCGATCGACCGATCCTCGAGCACGACCGCTGCCGTCCACGAAGACAGCCGCACCCTCCCCCTCGGCGGGGCGCCGACCAGCAGGACATCGTGCTGCCCTGAACCCTCTGGCTTCTCTCGCGCTCCTGCAAGGCAGGAGGGCTCGAGGCCCGGCGCCAATGGGCGGCGTCGTCGCTTGACGTGGTCGTCGTCGTTTCTCGTGGTGTTGAGCTCTCACTCCTGAAGAATCATTGCGGCCGATCCCTCCCTCACCCGCTGGCATTCTGTTACCAATCGTGGTGCCCACCCTGGAGCTCGTACCCTTGTGGAACGCTCGATGTTCATACTGTGTCATGCTGGGTCGCTGGACAACAAAATCAAAGGCTGGCGCCAGAGACATTTTCGCTCTCGCCAGGGACTTCCTCCCTCTTTCCTCAGGCGCTGTGCTTGCGACGCTCAGGAATAGCGCTCTCGCACGAGAATTCTTTACACTTTACTCCGGAGTCGCCCTCTCGCCGAAGAGTTCCTCACAAATCTTATAAGATTCTCTTGAATGCCCCGCCCGCCCGGCCTGCCCGTTCGCCTGCTCGGAAGCCAGCCCGTGAGGCGGCGGATACGCACTTTGTTTGACGCCCACGCAGAGCGTTGCTGCTCCCTTGGCCCTGCCGAGTGTCTTGGACTTCGGGAAGGCTGGCAGAGGCAGAACTCCCTGCGGGGCGCACCAAGAGGGGGGCCCTGGAAGAGGGGGGGGCGCACCATGGACCGAGGCGTGTGCGTGGACGAGGGGGGGCCAGGGGACGTGCTGAAGGAAGAACAGGGGGCCGTGAGGCTTTTACAATCGGGGAGACGTGAGACTCGGGTTGGGGGGACTCGGGCTGGCCTGACGGGGCCGTCATGACAATGACGAGGCCCACTCTGAAATGTGACGCGAGCTCCCGCCGCAGACATCCCACGAAAACAAGACGATCAAAATCCAGGGCGGGCTCGTCAAAAGCGTAGGCCAGCCCGAGTTCCGGCGTACTCGACTCTTACGTCTCCCCGATAAGATATCATGGCCCCGGCCATGATACCCAAGCAGCATCCCTAAACCATCCCCTCCGTCTAAGACACTTCCGACCCACGGTCTCGCCACGGGAAGCGGCAGGACAGGAGCGGCGAGAGCCAGAACGGTCTCTCCACGAGCACGGTCGGCCAAAGGATTCTATTCAGTCGCGGCGCGTGGCGAGCACGCGCCGGTGCCGAGAGAGAGACCGGAGCGAGAGAGCGAGAGAGAGAGAGCGAGAGCGAGAGCGAGAGCGAGTCGCCCGCCGTCTGCGCAGCCGTGCCAGGCTCCTGCTGGCAGGTGGGGTGCGGCGCCGGGTCGGAGGGCGCCGCTTCGAGAAAGGGCCGCCCTCCGTCCGTGGAGCTGTCGGGGACGTCGAGGGTCGAGGCATCAGACGTGAGGAGGCCTCACGCGATGCGCAGGGCGGCTCTTGAAAGGGGGGCCACCCACCACGCGTGCAGTTGTCGGGGACTCTCGTCTCTGGGCCATAGCATCGAGGACGCCTCCGACGAGAACTCGAGCTTTAAAAACGAGACGCCGTCGATCCGCGCAGCCGACAAACATTTCCACCTGTAGAGCTATCTTGCTCAAACATTGTTTTGCCGTGAACTCGACTTTGAACATGCTATGCCCTCCATGTGCGAAGCATTCAACAGCTCAACCATTAGTTAGACTGTGACCATACAGTTACAACGCTAGAGCGCCGTTCGCCCTGAACCCCCATGTAGCTGCTGGGAACGCTACACAGTAGGGTCATATAATTAAGAATCCCACCAGCCCTTCAGGCTTCAGGGCGTAGATGGTCCAGGGTGTTTTGTCTTTCATCTGCCCCTCTTCCCCTTCGGGGAGGGGTCTACCCCTCCCCTACCCCTCCCCTAGACCTGGACGGGGCTGGTCGCGAGGTGTCAGAGCGTCCAAAACGGCCTCGGCGAGGAAGCCAAACTCATTAGTTTTACTAAGTTGTTGGCCCCATTTGGGCGTCTTGGGGGGGCACCACTAATGTAAGCTCCCCTCTTGTTTGATCGATGTCCTCAAAGATGGCCCAAATATGGTCCCCAAGTCTCCCAAGGGCGGTCCAAGAGAGCCCCAAGAGGTACCCAGGAGGCCCCAAGAGGCCGCCAAGAGGCCCCCAGGATACCCCCAAGAGGCTCCCAAGAGACCCCCAAGAGGCCCCAAGAGGCCCCCCAGGGGCACCCAAGACGCCCAAAGAGACCTCGGCGAGAATGCCAAAATCATTGATGTTATTAAGGTGTTGGCCACATTTTGGCCTCCTGGGGGGGGGGGGGGCACTGATTGAGATGGCTCCAAAAGCGCCTGGGAGAGCCCAATATGGCCTCAAAGATGGCTCAAGATACCCCAAGATGCCTCAAGATGGCGCCCAAGATGCTCCAAGAGGCCCCAAGACCGCTCCAAGACGACTCCAAGTGGCCAAAGAGCTCCCCCAGGAGGCCCCGAAGAGGACAACATCCTTCCAACACCGTGGAACAAAAACACTGTTTTTTTCTGTCTCGCCTTTTCGCTTCCGATGGCCATCCGAGGCCTCACGATGGCTCCAAGATGGGCCAAGAGGGTCAACAGGAGTCTCGAGAGAGCCCCAAGACGGCCCAAAGAGCGCCCAAGAGCGCTCCAAGAACGCCCCAAGAGGCGACTTTGGGGCTCCCGAGGGACAACGCTAGTTAATGCGCCCCTCTTGTTTGATCGATGTCCTCCAATATGGCCCCAAGAGCAGGAGGGCCTCAAGAGGGCCCCAAGAAGCGCCCAGGAGGCCTCAAAAGGCTCCCAAGAGGCCTCCAAGAGGCTCCCAAAAGACCCCCAAGAGGCCCCAATAGGCCGCTCCAAGAGGCCCCCAGGACCGCCAAGAGGCTCCCAAGACGCACGAGAGGCCCAAGAGAGCCCCAAGACGGCCCCAAGAGCGCCCAAGAGTGTCCCGAAAGCGCTCCAAGAGGGACCTTCATCTGCGTGCTGCCCACTTCCCTGATCGAAGCATATCCTCTGGGCATCGTCTCTGGATGGGCTGGTGGGTCACGCGAAACGTCTAGAACAGAACAAACACCCGGTATGACAACAATATCAGAACACGGTATGCCCTCTGATAATGCAACTGATGGGAAGGGATGGAAGAGGAGGGAGTGGAACAGGAAAACAGGAGGAGGAGGAGGAAGTAGGGCGGGCAGAAGGGAGGAGACAGGGTGAGCAAGAGGGAGGACGGTCACGTAATTATGAGGATGGTGAGGTATCAATGGGAAATCATGAAGCAACATTGAAGACGAGCATGACGACGAGTATAGAACGTTGTAAGACATAACACAGGGCCAACGACCCTCCTTCGCCGAAGAAGGAGAGGAGGATGATGCTGATGCTGATGCTGATGCTGATGCTGATGCTGATGCTGCTGATGCTGCTGATGATGATGATGATGATGATGATGCTGATGCTGATGCTGATGCTGATGCTGATGCTGATGCTGATGATGATGATGATGATGATGATGATGATGATGATGATGATGATGATGATGATGATGATGATGATGAGTTTGATGATGATGATCATGAGGAGGAGGAGGAGGAGAAGGAGGAGGAGGAGGAGGGGGAGGAGGAGGAGGGGGAGGACGAGGAGGAAGAGACGGAGGAGAAGGGCGGGCCCTGGGAGATCCACGAGGCGGACGAGGAAGACTACGAGGGGGGGGGAGGAGGGAGGAGGGATAAAAGCTCAAAGCCAGCTGCCCTTTCGCTATTCCTCTTGCCCCTGGAAGGTCCGCCTGAAGCTTCTTATTGTCATTGTCCCCCCACCTGCCTCTTCGTGTGATGCCTGAAGTGGTTCTGACCCAAGGTACCCCCAGCTTTACGCACACTTTTGGCGACCCTGGGGCCACCTGGGCCTCGTGAGGGGGTGATCTGGAGGCCACCTGGGCATCCCTGGAGATCCTGGGGACACCCTGGGCCAAGGAGCCCTTTGGCAGCACCCGACCTGCCGACCAATCAGGGTCCTGAGGGAAACGGGGGGCCCTGGTGCCTTCTCCCAAGACGAGTTTTTCATTCATCCTGAATCGTTTTCTGGCAGTCCCGGGGCCCGTGGAGGGCCCCGAGAGCCTGAAAACACCGAACAACCTCAGCAGCCGCAAGCCGTTTCCATCAGGACCCGCTTCCCCCACGGCGAACCCCTCCTCGTGCTCCTGCGCCTCCTGGTGCTGCTGGCTCCCTCCCCCATCGAACGCCGAGGGGGGAGGACGCGCTGCGGCTGCGGCGGCTTCAGAAGCCCCCGCAAAGAGGCCTGAGCAAAATGGGCGCGGAACATCGCCGATGCTGCGCCGATGCACTTGCCATGCATCTGATGACACCAGGATGGTGGATATCTGGCTCCTCGTCGCGCCGAATCGCCGATGTCTCAACGATGCGACGCGATTCCCAAACATCCTGAGTCTTGATGTTTGTTGATGCTGGGTCTCGGAAGTCCCGAGCAATTCTTCCTGATTTTGTGACGGTGAGGTGCCCTGGAGGCTGAAAGCGACCAAAAAAACTGATACCTTGATTCTTTCAATTCGTTGGGCACTCCGACCCCATCTGCTCCGGCCCCAGTTGGGAAGCCTCGGGGGTCCCCCTCCGAGTCTGTCAGGAAGGTGCCCCACCGGTTGCTGAACACCTCGGCACCGAGGTCCAGCAGCAGGTCGGGGGTGAACTCGAACGCATGCGGGAACTGGTGCAACAGCTGGTACACGCACTCGAGCCTGATGGCGGAGGCGGCCGTCCTCGTGTGCCACGGAGCTGGAAGGAGACTCGCACGACTGGATTCGAGCGAAGAGGCTGCGGAGGACGCTCGCCTGGGTGCACGAGCGCGCCCGCGCGTCTGGCTACACGCGGGCCGAGTGCTAGATGATACGCGGCCTGGCCCACTGCCCATGCACCTGCCGTGGCGCCCGGCCCTGTCCTACTGCTCCTCCTCCCTGAGGACAGCACCACCCGCCCCCAGCCCCCGCCCCCAGCCAGGACCCCCACTCCCGACCTGGTGATGTAGGGTGTCCTATAAGGACACCAAATCTCCGACATACAACTGTAACAGGTGTGATTCTCCTTTCTAAAAGAATATTTGGATCTCCCCCCCCGGAATTAGCGGGTGTCGTTTTCGTATTATGATGTATGGTTCTGCCCCATCGTCTATCCTAAATATATCTAAATCTGAACTCATATCACTCCGGCCAAACGGGTAAGCCCCCCGCCCTCATCCTCTGCAAAACGTTATGCGCGCGCACTCGCTGATCAAGCATCTTCAGTTTGCAAGATTCCCTTGCACATGATGGAACGAGGAGCACACGGGCGCGCGTCGTCGCTCGCGCATGCCGAAGTCCTACAAAAAGCAAAAGGTTTTGTAGGGAGTTCAAACATCGAGTGCCCCGAAAGCATATACAAGCACATGGCTTCCCAACAATAATGTTCAACTGCAAATTTGCGCTCGCGCTCTTGCGAACTTGAAAACAAACCATAGGTTCTTCAACAATTTCATGAACTACTACCAAACGGGCCTCTCGCGCGCGCATGTCGAAATCTTTCGAACGCCCTTTGCGCGCGTGCTGTCGCAAGAACCCGTTGGAAAAAATAGCCTGACGAAATACCCAACCATTTGCAGCTGCGAGAACCGCGAGGGAGATTAGACGTGACGAAGGGGGGGCACGCAAACCCCGAATAGCGCACGTGGTATACCCTCTGCTCTCATAGGCAGCGCGCCGCAGGAAGAACGAGGCGCGGGGCAGTGCGGGCAGGTGGGGGGGCGAAGGGGTGGGACGGGAGGCGCATGCGAACGTCGCCTCTGGGGCCTTCGGTGGAGCTCCCCATGGGGCCACGATGCGTGTGAAAGGTGTGCCGGAATGGGTCGGGCGGACGCATGTGGCCGCGCCCGCTGGGGCCTTCCTCATGTGGAGCTCCATATAGGGCCTCGAAACGTGTGGGGGGTGCGCCGAGATGGGTGTGGCAGACGCATGTGGCCACCCCCACTGGGGCCATAGGTGGAGCTCCCTATGCGGCCTCGAAACGCTGTACTCGGTGTGGCGGAAGCATGTGGCCACACCCACTGGAGTCTTCGGTGGAGCCCTGTATGGGGCCACGAAACGCTGTACTGGGTGTGGCGCACGCATGTTGCCACCCTCAGTGCAGCCTTCGGTGGAGCTCCCCATAGGGTCACGAAACGCTGTATGGGGTGTGGCGGTGGAGCTCCCTATGGGACCACGAAACGCTGTACTGGGTGTGGCGGACGTGCGCGGGCACCCCCATTGGGGCCTTCGGTGGAGCTCTCTATGGGGGACCACGAAACGCTGTACTGGGTGTGGCGGGCGCATGCGGGAACCCCAATTGGGGCCTTCGGTGGAGCTCCCTATGGGGCCACGAAGCACTGTACTGGGTGTGGGGGACGCATGCGGGCACCCCCACTGGAGTTGCCGGTGGCGCCCCCTAGGGCCATGAAGCGCTGTACTGGGTGTGGCGGACGCATGTGGGCACCCCCATTGGGGCCTTCGATGGAACTCCCTATAGGGCCACGGAACGTGTGAGGGTTGTGCCGAAATCGGTGTGGCGGACGCATGCGGGCACCCCCACTGGTGTTTTGGTTGAAGCTCCCCATGGGGCTACAAAACGTGTAAGGGGAGTGCCGAAATGGGTGTGGCGGACGCATGTGGCCCCCCCCCCTGGGACCTTCGGTTGAACTTCCTATGGGCCCACGAAACGTGTAAAAGGTATGCCGACATGGGTGTGGCGGAAGCATGTGGGGACCGCCGCTGGGGCCTCCGGTTGGGCTCCTTATGGGGCCACGAAGCGTGTGAGGGGTGTGTCGAAATGGGTGCAGCGGACGCACGTGGGCACCGCCGCTGGGGCTTTCGGTGGAACACCTGATGAGGCCACGAAGCGTGTGAGGGGTGTGTCCAAATGAGTGACATCGATGATGATGATGATGATGATGATGATGATGATGATGATGATGATGATGATGATGATGATGATGATGATGATGATGACGGTGATGACGGCGATGCTGCTGCTGCTGCTGATGATGGTGATGATGATGATGATGGGGATGATGATGATGATGATGATGATGATGATGATGATGATGATGATGATGATCATGATGATGATGATGATGATGATGAAGATGATGATGATGATGCTGATGATGATGATGATGACACGTTGACACGTACGGACATGGCGATGAAGATGACGATGCTGATGCTGACGATGATGGTGATGATGACGGACAGGATATTGATGATGAGGATGGCGATGATGCTGATGGTGATGATGATGACGAGAATGATGATGAGGGGAGGTAGGGGGCAGCGGGAGGAGGATGAGGAAGAAGAGGAGGAGTGAGGACGCAGGGCGCTGCCTTTTTCAAAACGAGGACCCGACACCACAGGATGGTTGGATGATTGGGAACAGCGCAAAGTGCACACGCGCGCGTCGTCGCGCGCGCATGCCGAAATCGTTCAAAAACACTGCGTGCCATAAAGGTTTCGATTTCGAGTGCCCCGAAGCAGATGAAACCGCATGGTGTTACAACATCAATTCTGACAAACAGCAGCGTGAGCTCGCGCTGTTGCGCATGCTTACAAACAACTAGCCTGGCGAAGAACCGAACCATATGCAGTTGTGACCACGTTATAGGTATCGTCTTCGGTGGGGCCCTCTTGTAGGGGCACGCATCGCCGACTGCCACTGGAACCTTCTGGGGCCACGAAGCGCTGCACCTCGGTGTGCCGGGCGCATGCGGGCACCCCCGTGGGGCCTTCGCTAGGGTTTCCTATGGGGCCACGAAGCGTTGCACTCGGTGGGGGAGACGGATGCGGGCTGCGCCGTTGGGGCCTTCGGTGGAGCTCCCTACGGGGCCACGAAGCGCTGTACTGGGTGTGGGGGGCGCATGCGGGCACCCCCACTGGGGCCTGGGTGGAGCTCTCCTTGGGGCCACGAAGCGCCGCACTGGGTGTGGCGGACGTGCGCGGGCACCCTACATGATGGTTTCTGTGGAGCTCCCTATGGGGCCACGAGGCGCTGCACCTGGGTGTGGCGGACGCATGCGGGCACCCCAACTGGTGTTTTTCGGTGGAGCTCCCTATGGGGCCACGAAGCGCTATACTGGGTGTGGAGGATGCACGCGGGCACCCCCACTGGGGCCTTAGGTGGAGCTCCCTATGGGGCCACGAAGCGCTGTACTGGGTGTGGCGGACGCAGGCGGGCATCCCCATTGGGGCCTTCGCTGGGGCTTCCTATGGAGCCAAGACGCCGTACTGGGTGTGGGGGGGGCGCATGCGGGCGCCGTCACTGGGGCGTTCGGTGGAGCTCCCTATGGGGCCACGAAACGCTGTACTGGGTGTGGGGGACGCACGCGGGCATCCCCACTGGGGCCTTAGGTGGAGCTCCCATGGGGCCACGAGGCGCTGTACTGGGTGTGGGGGACGCATGCGGGCATCCCCACTGGGGCTTGGCCTTAGGTGGGACTCCCTATAGGGCCACGAGGCGCTGTACTGGGTGCGGGGGGCGCATGCGGACACCGCCACAGGGTCCTTCGGTGGAGCCCCCTACGGGGCCACGAACCGCTGCACTGCTTGTGGGGGACGCATGCGGGCACCCCCACTGGGGCCTTTTTTTGCTGCGTGCCAGGTTCGCGCGGCGACAGCTCGGTATCAAGCATCCGCGCAGCTGGCGGCCGCGGGGCGCGGGCGGCAGGCGAGAGCCTGACAGCGGGGCGCCGAGCAGCAAAGGAGCGAGCGAGCCGAAAAGGCCAACCCGCCGCCACTCAGCCAGACCCCCTGTTCAGCGAGCCAGCGCCTTCGGCTGCGCCTCTTTCGGCGGCAGTCCGATCCGGATCCTTTGGACCTTCCCGAGACGGCGCTGCAATCCTCGAGCGCTATCGGGGAGCTTGCGTTCCGCAGCTGACAGGCATCTGTGCTTGCCACCGACCACGCGAGCATAGCAATGGCACTTGGTACAAATGCGGTACCCGTTGATTGTGACAGGCTGGTGCTCGCCGCTGACCCCCCCCCCGGGACGCCAGTGCCATCGCCTGCGGGCGACGCGGAGGCAAGGGCTCCAGGGGGGCCCTCGAGGGCAACCGACCGAGAGTGTTCGGGCGAGCTCGAGCGGCGAGCGAAATCGAAGGCACTCTGCGACAAGATCCGGCTGCTGGACTGCTGGCCCTCGGTGGGCAGAGACTGAACAAGGTCGCGCTTCTGTGGCGCGGCATCTGGGAGAGATGACTGGCTGCGCTGTGCAGCCAGGGCAGGGGCATCCTGAGGGGCTTCTGCAGCGGGGCCCACGCGAGGCTGGGAGGGGCCAGGAGGACCGCGCCCTAAGGCAAGGGTAGCCTCAGGACGCCCACCGCGAAAAAAAAACCGACCAAGACTAAGAGGAGCTTCTGCAGCAGGGCCCGCAATAGGTCCAGGCTGGAGGTCCGCAAAGGCTTCTGCAACGGGGTCTACGCGAGCCTCACTCACGGCCGACGCACCATTTTCCCCAGCAGCCGAGCGGACAGCATCGCTCGAGCTGGCTCCAGAAGCCGCCGGCAAAAGGTAGGCAATAGTCTGCTGGGTCGTCTTGGGGGTCTTGGCGGTCTCCCTGGCGCCGTCGGCGCCGCTGTTCTGCTCGGGCTCGCCAGGCGCCGTTATGGCAGCGATAGCCGCCGCCGCCGTTGCCGCCGTCGCCATGGCCGCCTGTGCAGGACGCCCTCGCGAGGGCCCGCCAG